TCATAAACAAGGTGGGTTTGTTTTTTTTATATCTCATGAAAATGTCTTCAGGGACAATTTCCTCTTCTTGGTTCTATATGAATAGGTAAAACATTTATAAATGTTTCCTTATTTTTCCATACAGCCTATGGTAGGAGGAGTAACAATCTATCAGTTGTCAAGAAAGTTTCATGGTGTGCACAGGAACACCAAATGTTTTCCTTGCCTTTCCTCTTTGCCCCGGCCCATTAAGAGACTAGCTTGTAACTAAGTATCTATCAGAAGCTCTTGGCCTAAGGGGATTAAGAATTCATAATTTTCCAAGTTTCCTTGGAATCCATTTTCTAAATTCAGTTTGGGCTCAAGTTCTTACATGAAAATTAAGGCTCCTAAAGAAACCAAGCAAAATGCATTTATTTTAATCAATGTATCGTCTTGATGAAATCTCCTTTATAATAAATGTCAAAGGTAGGTGACATAGGTAGGTGACTGAATAGTTTGAACTGGTATAGTAAACAGCATTGGCCAAGTGTCCATTGGCTGATATCTGCAATTGATAGTGATTACAATTTTAAAGTTGATAAGATTAGTTAACAGTTATATTATAAGCAGGAAGACAATCATAGTGAACATAAGCAACAATATCAAAATAGTAAGAGTTAAAAAATATGGAACTAAAATATCATGTGAATTTGGTAGCTGATCTGTTGTGACACACTTGCTACTGATCCTGATTCTTCAAGTGATATTGAGAGTTAGGTTTCATATGAACATGATTAATGGGATATAAGAGTGGAATCAGTATTCTGCTCTGATTCAGAAACTTTGGAGTGGAAAAAAATATGTATTTTCACAAGTATTCCAGGTAATTCTGATAAATGCTAATATTTGAGAAAACTTGGCTTAGACTGTAGCTACTTCGACAAAGATCAAAAAATCAAATATTAAAACAAAGATCAAAATTTGCATTAAAGCTCTCATTTTCCTTTAGAAAATACTTTCTTAGGATACCAGTAAATATGACCACTGTTGAACAGACATGCTTTATTCCCTGATCCTCAAGTGGAATATTTGCATGAAAAATGAAGTCTGAAATTTGTGAAGGAACAGATTGTCCTAGAATTGAAAGGGGTGTTCAATAAGCTGAAAGGTATATAATTAAGAACAAATAACGTATTGCCATTTTTCAAATTGAGGTATATCAGGAGTTCTATTTCCCCTTGGACATAGAAAGCTGGAACTAGTGTCGCTTCTACCCTAAAAAGAAAAATCCATGTAAACTGAAAAAAATCACAACCTCGCTGAACACATCAAAGAGCTGAAGTCCCTAGTCAACCAAGCAGTTATCAAATCCACTGAATCTCAGGTCCCTCAAAGGAGAGATGAGACACAAGCACCTGCTCAACAGTGACTACAGGAGGAAGAGATGCTGGGTGCCATACAACTAAGTAAGAAGCATTCAGCTTTAATTTTTGATGGATTGGTGAAGGTCAGGTATGGACTAGGGTAAGAGTATAGAATTCCTGGCAGCTGCAGCCACAGGGGGAGTTTGCACCTACTCACAGACTCTTCTCCTTGGACCTCAATCTCCTGCTCATGAGAAATATTGTGGGCAGAGCAGGAGATGCTCAAGTGCCTTTCTTAGTGTTGAAGTCTTGGAGGGGGGAAGTGGTCGCGGCTGTGAGAAAAGCATGAAGCCCTGCTGCAACCCTTCTCTGGAAAACAAAGCCTTAAGCCTCTGGGGAGGAGCAGAAAACCCTGTCACCACTAGGACAAAGGTACAGACCAACTGTAGCCAGTGGAAAGGTTAAAAAAAATCACTTCTACCCTTGGGAACGTCCTGGACATAGGATTCTGTACTACTAACACTAGAGATCTTCTACAACTGGGAGAAGGAAAAGAAACTCTCCTGTGGAAGACCAAACAAAGCTGTAAGATGGAGTTTGGCTGCCACAGAGAGAAGAGGCAGGATCATGGAGAAAGGCAACCTCTAAGATCTAAACACAACACACAGAGCCTGTCTAAGGTGGAGGTTGTACTAAAACAATAGAGAGCTCCTTGCCCTCACCACCAGACAAGCATGCACTAAGAACAAGCATTTGCAGTCTACCACTGAGGGAGAGAAAAAGTGCGGGGAGGGACAAAACTCATGGTGGAGATGAACGAGGAACCTAAAAATGAAGGAGAAACATCGAGAAAATGCCTCTGAAATCCCAGCCTCCAATCTAAGAAAAAAGAATTTGAAGCCAATGGTGTGCTAAAGCTAATCATAGAAATGAGAAAACCCAAATGCAACTTAACTACTGACTGGGTTTGCTCAACGACACCCTCTGCCACACACACACCTACACCAACAGCCTAACAGAAGAGATGTGTCCACTCCCAGACATAAAGTCTCTACATTTATACACACAATGTTTGGTATTTAATCAAAAATTACATGACACATAAAAAAGCAAGGAAAAAACAACCTGGTGTTAAGAGAGAAAATAATCAACAGAATAGATTTAAACACAACCCCTATGTTTAAACTATCAAATGGAATTTTAAAGTAACTATGATTAATTGGTTAAAGAGTCTAGTGAAAGTACAGAAAACATGCAAGAGCAGGTGGGAAATTTCAACAGACAGATGGTGTTATGGACTGAATTGTGTCCTCCTTAAATCCAGATATTGAAGCCCTAACCCTCAATGTGACTACATTTGCAGACAGGTCCTTTAGGGAGGTAATTAAGGTAAATGAGATCACAAGGGTGAGGCCCTAATCTCACAGGGCTAGTGTCCTTCTAAGAAGATGAAGAGACATCAGCACTCTCTCTCTTTCCAGGGACACAGAGGAAAGGTCATGTGAGGACACAGCAATGAAGCAGCCATCTACAAGTCAGGAGAAGAGGCCTCCCCAGACACCAACTCTGACTTCTTGATCTTGGACTTGTAGCCTCCAGAACTGTGAGAAAATACATTTTTGTTGTTTTTGCCACTCAGTTTGTGGTATTCTGTTATGGCAGCCTGAGCGAACTAATACAAATGGGAACTACAATAACGAGTCGAATGGAAAAGCTAGAAATAAAAAACATGATAAGAAAAGCAAAAGAATGCCTTTAACAAGTTCATTGGTAGACTCAAAACAGCTGAAAAAACAATTACTAAACTTGAAGATAAGTCCAAAGAAGTTACTCAAACTTAAATTCGAAGAGTGACAAAAAGTGACAGAGCATCCAAGAGTTATGGGATAATATAACACAATCTAGTACACATATGATTTGAATCCCAGGAGAAGTGAGACAATAGTATAGAAGAATTTTGTGAAGAAATAATGGTCAAGAATTTTCAAAAATTCATGACAGTTACCACAATACAGATGCAAGAAATTCAGGGACTTCCAAGAATAATAAAGTACTAAACAGACATACACACGTGCACACACACACACACTTAGTACATTATATTCAAATCACTGATAAAATAAAAATGTTGAATGCAGCCATATGAAAACAGAATCATTGCTTCCACAGGACTAAAACTAAGATTTACAACAGACTTATTAGAAACTATGAAAGCCAGAAAATAATGGTGGCAGATGTTTAAAGCGCTGACAGGAAAATAAAATTTTCATCCTAGAATTCTATAGCCAATGAAAATATCTTTAAAAAGTGATAGTGCACAGATTTACTCTACACAAAATATAAAAGGAAATTCTTCAGAGAGACAGGATATGATACCAAAGTTTGAATCTGCACACACACAAAAGAATGTCTTTAGGAAAATCCATTTTCCCAACTCCGTTAGCTGACTGCTCTGCTGAAAAGAAGTCTGCCTCTATATCTCAGTGCATAAGCTTCAGATAATGATCCTCTCAATCAGGACCTTGGACAGGACTGGGAAGCAATCAAGTACCTACAGTGCTGTCATCTTAGCATCTAGCATCCTTCCAAAGAGTGGCTCAAATGAACTGATTCTCTGTTTGGAAAGTCATTGACTGATATTTTACAAATGTGGTGACTGGAAGGAACTCATAAGAGGAATATGAATGTCTTGATGACTGCCTCTAATTTTATTATAATGCTGCATATGAATAAGGCCTCTTTATTGGGCAAAAAAAAAAAAAATCCCTGAAGGGAAAGGTTTGAACAGAATTTTAAAGTTAACTTTATGGCTAGACTGGTCCCGTAAACTACCATAGACTGGTAGCCTCATTTTTAAGGCAATTTCTTGTCCTTTACTATGGTGCCACTAGACTATCCTGGGCCTTGCTAGCTGGCATTCCCTTCTGCTTCTGACAACAGGATATAGCAGAAAATTGTTAAAATTTCTACATTCCTATGACTTTCTTTCTTTAAATTCTCCTCTTCAAGTATTCTGTATCCTATAATGGAATTTAATATATACTATCAGATGACCAGGACAGAATGCAAGACACAAAGAACACAGGAAAGAGGACAAACGTTATATTCATATTTGAATTTGGGAGAAGTCTAAGGATATCAGTATCCATCTAAAGAGAGAAATTATATTATGCAAAAATAATATTCCACAAACCACAGGACAAAATTCATTTTAGTATAGAAATATATATGTTTTGGATATGAGGCATATAGAATTGACACAACAGTAGAATTTGCTATACTATATTTAATTAAATACTTATTTAATTGCTTTATTGCTGAATTTCTGATAAATTTTGTTCCGTTATTTATTTTCTCCATTTGGAAACATCATTTCCAAGAATAAAGTGGGAAGTAGAGCCTACTGTTTTGCAGTAACTTTGGTAACACCTTTTAAAGCATCCAGGATAAGAACACGATACAAGACTACACGGCTACCATTACCATCACCTTGATCTAGGAAATTGGATTTATTTAGTGTTAGTAGGAAAGCACAAGAAAGAAAATATTTTCATCTGCCTACTAATTCAATTCAATTCAATTCAATTCAATAAACATCCATTTTATTTCCATGTGTTAGCCATGAAAGACATGGGCAGTCAGCTTAATAGAAAGAAGAAAGATGTGCTCACTTACTAATTTGACTCGATGGCCAGGAGTGGCACTGATTTCCCATGTGCATTCCTTCCTGCTTGGGTACTTGTCTGGCCAGTTGGGACTGGTGATGAAGCCACTTGGACTGTGAATCTTCTGTTCACACTCAGCTGTGCCAGTAACGATAATATCAATCAGTGTGGAAATCTAGCCGAGGATTGTGCCAGCAAGAAAGCAGTCTATTTACCCGCTATCATGCTGAAAGATTTTCCTGAATACTAACTAATCATCACTCTGGTCTCTGTTATCATATTCATCTGCTTTGGCAAACATGTTGCTGAGCATAATCAGGCGATGTTTGTTTTCTTGCTCACATGAAATTAAGTGTTTACAATGAATTATATAAATGCCTAAAAGAAAATGAACTACTTCAAACTGCTGGATCTGTAAGCTCAGATTTTAAAAGAGCAACATATATTGACAATCAAGGATATCAACACTTGGTATGTGCAAAATATTAAATGCAATGCCACAAACAAAAATCAATGGACTATGCCATTTTCAAATCATTTTTTTATTAACAGAAACATCACTTAAAGCTAATTAACATCATTAACCGTATGAATCATGTATTTACATTTTCTCTCTCCCTTAAAGTATACACTTGAATACCTAAACCATCCTTTTAGCTGCTAAAGTAGATTAACCTTAATTTCATCAACATAAAATGAAGCACTAAGGGGCAAAATAAGTGAACAGTTACCAGCCATGGAGATAGCTTCTGAACTAATTTCAAAGAATATCTCATTCAATTGACATGAAATTTCTTTTAGGTTTTTCACAATTCAAATAACTTCGTCATAGAGGGGACCAGTCCATATTGTTAATGTCAAACTTTAAAAATATTTAATAGTCTCAGGCTGTGCTAATTCTATGTGATGTGAGAAGCAGCACCCTACACATCCTGGTTTAGACTGGGAATTATTTGTCATGGATTGTGTATCCCATTCTGAAATACAATTAGGCTCTCAAATTTTCCAAGAAATCTCTTTGGGTAAAATTCTTCATCATATGGACTTAAACACCTATTACACTGCGGGGCTGCACAATGAGGGTAAGATGCCCAACATTATTGTACTGTTGTTGCATTCCTACTACTAGATTTTATCTTAATTGTTGAAGTTTCTGCAGCAAGATTTGGATTTGTAATAGAGGAATACTAAAAGAGATGAAATTTAGCTCCTTTCAAACAATATAGGATCGTGTAGCACAGCAACAGCCTTAAACAGATCCTGTCTCAACAAGGGTTTTCTAAATTCCATTATCTCTGTCCTTGCTTTGCCAAATGAAATGTGGAGCCTCCAGGATCTGGCAAAAAGCCTATGAGACAGCCAAGAAGCTCGCTGCTAAACTGTAGAAAGTGCCCCTATGGATAACAAAGGTAAAAGAGAATCCAACCCCTTTGCTAGCAGCAAAATGAACTTTATTAGGGGTACCTGGATATAGTTCTGCCTAAAAGGAAGTTTCCTATAAAATCCTTTCTTGAAAATATTCACTGAAGTGAACAGAGACTTAGGATATCTAAATTGATTTGCTACATCTGAGCCATGAGCTACATGCATACTCTGCAAAAGTTGTCTCTTTTTTTCTCTGAATTCTTTCCATATTTGCAAAATAACTGGGCCCATTCCCCAGCCTGTTGATTTAATAGAACACCAAGTTACAAATATCAGAATCCTCATGAGTTTATGCTCAAACATGAAAGTAAGTAAAGAAAAAAATCCTGCTTGCATATGATTCTGGGCTATGTCATTAGCTCAGTGAAAAAAGGAGAAAACAATCCTGAGACGTGACCATATTTGAATAGAACATAATGAAACAAGGGTCAATTCATGACATTCTGTACTATTTGAATATGCATACAAAGAGTTGCTATCTAATTGTGGTTCTAGGCAAGTACTTACCAATACGCATGTGCTAATGACTAAAGTTACAAAATATGCCTTAGTAATTCTTTCAAAATAGGCATAAATCCAAGTTAAGTAGAAAATTCAAGATCAGACCCTCAAAGGAAGAAGACAGAACTGAATAACTATTTCTTGTTCCCATCTAGCTTATACTGGCTAAGGAGATTAAGATAATTTTTTAAATAAAATCTTGGCGTATTGTAAGGCTTTGGGGCCAAGAACTGGTAGGCTACTATTGTGCTACTAGTATGCTTTTATCTTGGCCCAAACCATGACTTGAAACTTTAAGTGGCACAGTATCTGCCACTTTCAAATGTCTTCCCTCTGGTAGGCATTTGAGTTGATACTCCTGGTATTTAAAGTGGCATCACTCATATAGCACATATATGAGATATTTTGGGGAGGGAAATTAAACCAAATGCAAAGCATTTAGCAGAAGTTAAGTTTAAATATGGAGACCGCTATAAGGTCTGTTCTATAAAGACCTGGTGATAATGTAGTGCTTTTCTGGTTGCCAGATGGCATCATAGCAGCTTCTATGTCTGTTATACAAAGTTATTCTAATGCCACCCATGTGTGAAGTGCAGAACCTTTAGGTAATATGAGGTTTCCAATGGTATGCCTTGGATCTTTAAACACTGCATATATTTTTTTTTGACATTTGAATAGTCAACAATGATATCACTCATTGATATGATTAACTCTACCTGGAAGCAGTGCTTTACCCAAACTTCACGAAACTCTAAACATTGTCGAGAAAAGAACACTCCCCTCATACCTTCCTTGCAGTCATGTTTATTTTCATGCAGCACAAATCCATTACGGCACTGACACACGTAGCTTCCCATTGTGTTGACACACTCGTGTTGACAGCCGCCGTTATCCTTAGAGCACTCGTCTTTGTCTAGCAAAGAGATACCCCCATAGGTTAGTAAGTAGCTTTAAAAACAAAAAACATCACAGGAGAGTCATTTAGTCGTGGTTAACACTGGCAAAGGGTAAACTAAGTCACAGCTTTTCCTGTTCCCAGCATAAAAAACAGAGAAAAAATTGATAGTGTCTTAGTTCTACCCATTCCTTGTTTAGCTTGGAGCCTTGTACCATGAACTGAGTTTCTAAAACAATTTGTGCTAGGATGACACAGTTCTCTTTCACTCCTATGCGGGAGTAGGAGTTTTGAGTAGGAGAAAGGAAATGAATGAATCTTCGTCCAACTAATCCTAAACACTTATGGCTGATTTTTAAAAAATAAACTTAAAATTGTGAGTAGTTTGAATAAATGAGAGAAATGGAAATCCTTCAGTATATCAACCATGGTATATAGACAGAGGCTAAACAAGGTTCTAAGATTTATATGTAATCACTTTAAAAAAAATCACTCAGTATAACTACTGTAGTGGATTTTTTTCATTAACTTTGCAGTTATGCTTAGCATAACGAATCTGGAGATTTCATAATATTCCAAGACAGAAAAAGGAATCGTTAGACTATCCTAAAGAAGAAACTTAATTTATGTAACTTAAATCTACTCCCGCAGACCAGTTATTACTAAGTAATTCCCTCAAAGGGCTTTGAGTGTGCTAGAAGTAAAGATTAGAATAGGAAATAAGAGCTTTAAGAAATAGCCAACAAACTCAGAACAGGGGAAAAAGCCAAACTAGATTAGCAGGCAGTCAATCCAGTGAGAGGCATCAGCCACCGTATTATATTACTCAGCTTGTCATTCCATGGCTGGCTCGTCCATTAAAGTCAAAACTGGCAGATTGCTCCTGACACACATGTATGATGACACCTCACTCAGACTTTCATCACTCCCACAGCAGAGAGAAGAAAAAGGACACACGACAGTCATATCAGAGGTGAGGCTGAATTTAAAATTTACACTGTCAACAGATTTTTCTAGTGAGAATTTGTGAGCTGGTGGAGGCACACTAATAGCAAATGCTATTTTTGCTTTCTTATTAAATCAATATTACTCTATGGAGATGGGTTTAGGAAAGACATTTTTATCAAAGGATCTAATAGCAATGTTTAAGGATCCATCTATTTTTCCCCTTTTGGAGAGTGATTATATGACATAACACACACAAGCTCCTGGGATATATTCAAGCATTGGCAATATCAGAATATCCCAAACACATACAGGCAGTCCCGAAGGGCTAAAGAATATATCTGAATCAATATATCTGTGATTTATGTGTTCTCTACCTACCCTTAACACTTCTATTATACTTTTAAACTTACTATGGAGCCTAAGCAAAAAAAAAAAAAAGTAGAATAAAGAAAATTATTCTCCAAAAGAGCATCAAACACCAAAATGTAAAAGAAATCAGAAGTTAATACAGAATTTGCCTTGTAAAATTAATTTTAGAGAAATTTACAATAATTTGCAAGCCCTGTTCCCTTAACTGTATCAGCAGTGAAAATTACAGTGTATGAGTTATGAATGACCTACTCAGAATGGGTGGATAGTAAACCACGCTTCCTACCACCATGGTGTCAGTTACCTGCATTTTCTAATTCAAGACAGCCAAGCAGTAAATGATTTAAATTTATTGTTTTAATGCAACTTTCCAGAGGCTCTTTACTTAAGATGCTTCAGAAAAATACTTCCCCATGCATAGATGTAGAAATACATTTCATCTTTGTTAAATGGAAAGAGCCAATTTAAAAAATTTCTGGTGCCAGGATTACTTGCTCTGAAACAGACACATATTTCCTATGAAAATGTTTACATAATGATCATTTGGTGTACTTAAAACATGATAGAATGAAGGTTAGTTGTACTATAGATCAACCAGACTCTTGAGAGTTGGTTGGAAATCTAACAACCGTAAGCAAAGAAGTTTAGAGAAAACTAGTTCACATTTGCAACTGACTGGTAAACAGATTAACTGCTCAGTGACAAGCCCTATAGTGGCAGGGACTGCCAGAATTGTCCTTTTATTTGGACCTCTTTGGATTGCCATACATGAGAGATCTAAAGTTGTTAAAATAAAACATGAACACAAGTATTACTGTTAAGTTTTTAAATCGACAGTCATTTTATAATAAAAAAATTCAATACTTGAAATGTTTCTAACATTTAAACTTCATTCTACTGGAAATCTCAAGTCACTAGCTTATATATCCAAGAAAAATAATTTTCTTAAGATTTGATATAATCTGACCTGTGGTAATCATAACTAAAGAGAAATAAAGTTAAAAGTGAAACCAATCATATTTGAATCGTAGTTTTTTGCAGCCAATTATTCATATTTCTACTGTGCTGGAAAAATAATAATCTAAAAATAATTTTTAGAAGAAGAAGAGGAGGAGAAGCAGGAGGAAGAAGATTTTATATAGAAATTATTATCTAAGTATCTCTTATTTTCAGTTTCCCACATGATGGTGTTTCCTGCCTTCATCCCCACATGAAATGTTGCCTAATAAAATCTGTCATGTGACAATTTGATAATACACTACAGGAATACATATATGGTTACTCTAAAGTTTAGCGAGAATTCAAAACTGAACTAATCAAAATAGTAACTAAAAGCAGCAGAGGAAAGTTATCATGCCCAGCAAAGTAGCATTTAAAACTGTGCCTCCACGTGTCAAATAGTCATATGAAAACAGAAAATTTCAGTAAACGCTGGAATATTTAAAATTATCCAGACATTTTACATCATGTAAACAAAGAAAGCTACTTATCTAACTTGCATTTGAAGTTGTCTAGGGAGTAATGAATACAGTGTGGTTATTTTTAAAATATTTGTTTGATGATGTTGATGGGAAATAATAACATCATAAAAGATGAGTCCACAAATATATTCTGGACTTCTTAAGCATGTCATCAAACTAGGGGAAAAAGCTATTGGCAAACATGACCATGTTTTCACCTTCCTTCTCTTTCTTTTCTTAGGACACAAACTACAAATATTTTGAGCAATAAAAATCCAAAGAAAGAGAGAAGGGAGGAGGATGCAGGTAAGTTTTAAATATTTCTCAGAATGTCTGCATAATAAATTCAATAACAAAATTTTATCAATAATTCATTTGAAATTTTCTAGCATTTTCATACTACAGGCACAAATTTTTTAAAGTAGTTTTTATTAGTGAAAGAAACAAATGTTTTGTTGAGTAGAAATAAAAACATTTATTTTCTGCAGATGGAAATCAGCCTCCTTCTTTGGAATGGACGTATCTACTTTCCATTCCTTCATGTTAGATGAAGGAAAGGTCCATTATTAGGGAAAAAGGAGGTGGCATTTTCCCATCAGAGGCCTGCAGAGTATCTCTGGGACTATCAGAGGCCATCAGTCTAGGAATTATACATACTGGAGGGAAGTGAAGTGGTAACCTGTATCAAGTTCTTGCAAGATTCAAAAATAAAAATTTTCTCTTTGCAGAAAGCTTCCTTGTCTGTAGGAAAAAGAAGTAAAGAGTCCATGCACCAGAACAGAAACATATATAAGCAGATATACTCACAATAAATGCTTAAATATAAAATAAACCGACCCATGCACAATCGTGCATACACACATGCACGTACACTCCCATGCATGCGCGCACACATACACAGCACACACAGATTTCAACACAAAACTATTGAACAGATAATCACCTTCAAAAAAGCACTATTAAGCTCTACAGAGAGCTATGACAGACAATTTGCTCTTTCTATAAACATGCAAATATTTAAATATTAATAGTGAAGACTTGGAAGCAAGATTCAAAATCATATAGGTAAGTTTTAACTGTGTTACTATTTGAAATTAATCAGACTAATATTTAAAGTTTTGTTAGAATAATATCAGGTTGAATTTCTTCTAAAAATATCTATGACCATTCCATGAGAGAAATGGTGTACAGGAGGAACAATGGAAAGAAATAGTCACACACAAAGAAAGGTGGACAAGGCGAGGAGTATGTCCGTTGAAATCACTTGAATTTAGAGGTAGAAAAATTGCACAAATCATTTTATCTGACTCCTAAACTTATTACAGACAGAAATAAACTGGGAGTCAGGAAATCTGGGTTTTTCCTCCAGTTCTGCCACTGAGAAAGTCACTAGGTCCATCAGTAATAGATCATATTCCTATTAAAGTTATCCGTGAGGGAGTCTGCTATTAAATGAGATTTATTCTTCAAATTCTCTATTCTCACTATTACAGAAGTCATAATTGAGTCTTAAGGTTGTCTAAAGAAGGAAGAATATCTATGCTCAACTCTCATCGCCTAAAATCATTTGCTATTATTATTTCCTAATAATGAATGCTACAATTACATTTTTAAAGCATGTCAAGTTTCCCAAAGGTTGCTATTCTTACATACATAAACACCTACTAACATTTCTCTAAGTTTAATTCATTTAAGAAAAATAATTTGTTCTGAGTAGAATACAGTTAACTTTGCTTCACCACTCAAAATAAATAAACTGCATCATGTATACTTGTGCAGATGTACACTGTTGTCCAAATACAACATCATATAAAATTAAGTTTGGTTTTACTATAATATAAAGTAAGCCATTATTGTAATCTAATAACAAACCTCATTCAATCCAAGAAAATAACGGTAATATATTGTTGGACGAGATATCTTCTATGTCATTATATTTTAAATTAGCTAAAATATTGAATAGATACATAACTCTTTATAATATTCAAATGGCCTTAGTTTGATATTCCTAATTTCCTTATTTGCTTTAATATTACTTCATCAAATGCTTTTAAAAGATACCCTAGAATGAAGATAGTACATCAAATTTGATTTTTGTAGAGAAACTTGTAGATTTTCTGCTGTATAATACAATAACTTCCAAATTTTTAAGCCATAGCATTTTCATAACTAATCTATAATATTCAATCGGAATTGATATGATAGTTGCTTACTACTACACACATGGAAGTGACAGAAACCACCGATGTTAGTTATTCTGCTAATAAGTTCTCAGTTATCCTTTCAATTCCATTTCTGAAGTCTGCAAAGTCCTTATTTAAAATCAGAGGCTATGTGAAAAAAAAAGTAAAATCTCTATATGATTATTTTACTAAACAATTATATTTTGGCAATAATGCTATAAATAATTTATTTCACTGTATATATTAAAAGTCTAAATATATTTTCTTTTTTCCTTAAGGTATCACTTAGCTTCAAGACAGCTAGAATTTCTTTTTAAACACCTTTCCTTTCCAAATGACATGGAATCACTATTATCAAATATTGTTTCTTATTATTATTGAATTCCTTGATAACTGTTCTTGGAAATATAATGTTTTTGTTCTTCCCTTTTCCTGAGCAAACATCTTCTCCACTAACAGAAACTCCCAGAAAATTGTGTGAAATAGAGCAAATTACTTATTCAGAACTACAGTATTTGAAATATGAATCTGACAAACTGACAAAACTTTAGAATGCACCTAGAAGAAAATACTGAAAGTTTATACTTGATTATTATCTTGAACTTTACAAAATAATAATTTAATAAGGAAGTGAAAAGTGTATCTGTTGTTTCTCAGGTCACAAATATGTGGAGATAACTAATGCCATTTGCAAAGGACGTGATCAGCTCTGATGATTAGGACAAACTACAACAAACTAGGGTTAAATTCGTTGTGACACTAAGCAATTTACCTAACTCCTCACCCGCTTCATCTGTCAAATGAATACAACAGTGAGCCTATTATAGCCTTATTTGGATTATAAAAGAGATCATGTATACTTGCATAATAAGTTGTCAAAAATAGCATCTATAATATAACAGTTTGGGATTTAGCTTCCCCTTGAACTTCATTGTTCAGTTTACTTAACGACCGGTGCTCCGTCGAACAATCTAGGCTAGACTCTTTCAAAATGAAGTACTGTCACTTATTTGATTTATTATTTTTTTAAAAAGCACTGATAAATACTAAAAATTGAGATGATTTACTATGAGCATCAGTATCAGTGAACATGATTTATAGCAAATTAGATATGATGAGCTCAAGTACTACCAAGGTTCTCAGTAAATTTCACAGAGCACAGCTACGTGGAGCTAAGAATAAAGACTGTGTACTCTCGCGCTCTGGAGAGCAGCAGCATCTATCTGTGCCTTCATATCTGTAGTATAAGAATTAAAGCAGCATGCCCCATATCGCAATAGTATTGTTCTAAAGATACAAACAAATAACTTGTCTTTACGATTTGGAAAGTTTTGCCTGATCAAAAATATCAGAGAGGGAATTTTAAATTTTCTGGGTAACTTTAAATTTAATCATATTTTGTCATCTGTATCTGTAGCATGTATCTTTTTTAAAGGAATTATTAAATAAAATGTACGGCTAAAGTAAGGTAAAAAGGATCTTGAATATTACTAATATTATGATAAAATTTATTCACTTTATAATTTTAATTTTTAAAATAAATAGGTGGTTCTAAGATAAGAAGCTTTATCTCTGACCAATGATCACCTAAAATTTGTAAAATATATGATATTTACAAAATAGTGAAGTCTAAGAAAGTCTTCCTTTCACTGAAATAGGATGTTAAAATTCTACTTTGAATAACATAAATCTTAAATGAATGCCTGAGAAGAATTTTTAAGAGGCAATTAAATCTGAGAGAAGGAAAGGAATGAGAACAAGAGAGCCAAGATCCATTGTATTTTGAAGGTACTTTTGTGTATGACTTGGCCCTCAATGGAGCTTGTGAACCATTAACTTCAATTACACTGGAAACCCCAAACAAACCCTGGGCATTGTAAATCTCATTAATTTTAAACACATGGGGACTGGAATAAATGGACTTTGAATTAACTCAATCCAAATTACCTAATATTAAAACATAATTGGAATTCAGTTGCTTTAAATTGCTTGCCAGTCTGAAAAATAGAATAGATAACTATACTTTGGTTTATTACAATTTATCTATTTTTGAAGTTTCAGTAATAATATTTTTATAAAGCATGATTCTGAAATTGGGAAAATAAGGGAATTTCACCGATGATTCTATATATTTTCTTAAAATTTGGGGACCTTTTGCCAAATTTCAGCTGTTTAAGGGGGAAATTTTACTTTGAGTTGGTTAAAGTAAGCCTTAAATTCCAAACACAGAAGTGTCAAGTACTCATATAATACATTATTTTTAGTAAAATTATAATTTTCTAGGTCTCTTATTGCAATCATTTCTATAATGATGAGGCAAAGTATGACTTTAATATTAGCTTAACAATAAGAATGAAAATATAATAATAATAAGTGACATGTTGCTAAATAGTAAGAATAAAAACACATTGCTAAAATGAGAACTCATATTCCCAAAACAAAAATAATTTTGAAAATATCTGCCACTTTTTGCAAGTCTAGTGTCATTATTGCCATTTACTTGTAAAGAGTAAAGTCATTGTACAAAGATATAAAAATTTTGTGTTGTTTGTAGTAGCTTTTATAATATTTGATTAGAGTTCATATAAGATCTAAGTGCTGGAGAGCTACATTTCATCAGGGCCCCTATTATTAATATCCTAATTTTAGGTAAAGCTTGTTAAACCTAGGTAAATGGGCGTGCATTCTATACACTTCCAAGTTACATTTACAGAAAACTATAAAGAACAGATAACATGCAGTTGAAGCCCAGCCCCCTTGAAAATCTATAATGTACACTCATAGCACGTGAACACTGATACCTGAGAAGAAGTGTGCTTTGAAGCCCTTTTTGGATACGGTATTGTCAGATTTGAATTCAATTCTCATATTGTTGAACTGGGAGGTGATCACTTCAGGCACTTCGGCACCACAAAATTTGCCGTGCAATTTAGACTCAGAGGAAAGACCACTCCAAATCTCCACATAATCGTATTTGCAAACCTAGAAAAGACATGATTCCTGCAGTCACTGTATTTGAAAGTATCAGATGATTGACATTTATTTGTGAACAATGTATCATGGTTTTCCCTCCTTACTCCTGAGGTAATCAAACTGTAATTAACAGATAAGGAAAAAAAAAGTCAAGAAAAGAGTTCAGATATGAGACAGAAGTCAGGAAAGACAGATTAGAGAATAATTTTGCTCTTCATATTTCCAAGAGATGCACATACAAATATATGCTTGCTTATATGTACTTACAATAAACATCTTTTCTAGAAAACAAACACAAAGAGAGAAGGAGAACTGAAATGAATATTTGTTGAGATGATGGTGCTGGTGGTCACAAGAAGAGTAGCAATCCTGCCCTTTTTCCCTACATTTTGAATTTTCACTGGGAACTGCGAGAGAACTTGTCATGTATCACTGTCTTATTTAATGCTGACAATTATATGAAATTTGTATATTTAGTCTATAAAACAACCATTAGAAATAAAATGATTCTTTCTATTGTAGAGATGAGAAAGTCGAGGTTCAGAAATTTTCATATAACTTGTGCAAAGTTTCACTTATACATGGCAGCGTGGTGACTAATAACATGGAGTTTGGCCTGGTCCAGGGCTGCCTGCCCAAAATACACATTCTAATCAGATCAGCACCATTAGGAGCTTTCCAAAGGAGACACACACTTGGTACATAATAAAAGGTTTCTTTGACTTTCAAACTTATCCAAAGGACTGATATTTATTAATTTCTTTGAGTATCTTGGTATCGTGAAGTTACTCTGTAGTATTGCTATAGGACTGCAAACAAAAAAGGACCTCTATTCAGTGAAATGGAGGCAAGATTTATACTAAAATGAGGTGGACTCACTCTGATTTATATGCAATGCTCTAACACTAAAATGGAAGAAGCTAAGTGAATGCCAGGTATTTTTAAGCAATTTGACGGCCATTAACAGATGTTTCCATAACATACTTTTCCAGAGTTCCGAGGAGGCACATTCTAAAGGACGCATCTTGCATAAATGACCTTATTACATAAATGTGTAATTAGCAAGGTTTAACAATGCATCTGATTTAACCCTGGGGCATGATCTGTACTTTGCAATATGTCAACTCAAATTACTGGTTCTTGTGATATTAATTAGGTGACAAATAAGCAAAATGTTTCTGGAAAGAATGAAGTGTTTTCTATCTACTTTGTTACAACTGCAACTTTTGTTTAGACAGGGCTCCAACATAGGACAAGAGAATGTTTCCAAGGCTAGAGTTGTTTGACATTAACTTTCCTTTTGGATATTAATATAATGAACAAAATAATGAAATTTTAACTTAACCCAGTATTCCATAAGTCCAGTTTTGTTCATGGTTTTATTTTAAATAGCCAATACATCAAACCATGAAAATGCACAGAATTTTGTGGCAGCTTTCCACACAGAAACATCATTATAAATTTAAGAATTCTGGGATATGTTACAGAGTTTATAAAGGTCTTTCTATGAATAAGGACCACTAAGTACCATGAGAAAAGTGCTTTCAGAACACAATGCCCCATTTATATAAAACCATCTACCCTTCTTTCCTCATGAATACAAATTTCTAGCCTTCTTAGCAATAACTATCAATTAATGAACCAAAATGTCATATCTGCCACCACTAATAGCTTTAGGGAAAACTGAGAGACTAGAAGTCATTCAACACTAAGTTCACATCAAATCTTAGAATTGATAGGAAATCCTCATTCTCAGAAGTAAGAATGAAAGCTTTTCTAAAAATACTATAAAAATTATTTTCTTCATTTAAGTATTTCCCCAAATTTCAGATAATTATTAAAGGAAAATGATGTTTCACGTGGATAAACTATGTCAGAGATATAAATAGCAGTCTTTCTCATCATAAAACTTTACACACAATGTAAAGATCTCAAAAGGTCCATTGAGCTCTAAACTTCTACAACTCTCTGAAATACATAAGTACATCACATTTCAGACTTTAATTTCCTTTAAGGAAACATGAAAGTCAGCAACTTCATTTCACCTCAAAGCCACTAATAAGTCTAAAAAATGCACTGAAGTGCCTTGACTACTACAGGCAGAATTAAGAGAAAAAAAATGAAAGTAATTCAAAGGAGAGAGGGAAAAGTAAGAGGGAAAAAAGAAGCCGTGAAGATACACACATAAAGACAAAATTATGGTATAAAACCTGCATATATTACCAACAATTATTGGCCCAGGAGCACAGATATATTATATTTCTGTTCTTTCACTTCTTTGCAAGTGTTCAACAGAAATATGTCAAAGACAAAATAAATTTTATGAGTTAATTTTATCATATTTAGAAGTTTATAATCATGTTCATTTAAAAATAAACACAAAAATAGAGGTTGAGAGAAAGAATGTGGGAGATAGAGAAAGAAAAAAAAAGAAAAGAAAGTAAGAAAGCTCAAATAACACATTTGTTACATTTTCTCTGCAATTAAACCAATATTGACCAATCTTACAAAGGACACAGTTCTGAAAGTTCCCATTTCTAGGCTTGACATTCCATTTGAATTCTGTGTGCACGTACTAGCACAAAGGAATTTTCAAATAAATGATTTCATTTGTTTAAATGTGGCCACCTGACAGAAGACTGGACCTTTACCATGGTAAGTTATATTTTGCAAAGGAAAGATAGTGTCAACCAAATGCACCTTTTATTATAAATAAGGCTAAAAAAATCAATCTTTCCTTATTGGTGAATCATGAGCATATTGACTATAATGAAAAACTACTTATAAAAGGAAAATATACCCATTTCTACAAGTAAAATATACCAGTTTCTTCCAAGTGGATATTTTTGTTATGACTCAACCAGTGAATTTAGGTTTATTTTTTCTAGAAAAGTCTATGTGACATGGAGCTGATCCTAATTTTTTCACAGTTCTTTAATAAATCAAGAAAATGCTGTATATTAATACACTGAGGAAAAACTCCCTCCAGGTAATTTTCAACCTCCCAGAAAATCTAAAATATCATCCAGTGCCTGCAAGAATTATAAGCAGTTGTAGAAATGAGCAGCATAGCAAAGAAAGGCTATCACATCTATACTATTGTACTACTGAAATATATTCTTTTTTTCTTTATATTTTTAGTTTACCAGTTTGCCTTCAGGGATTCCCAAAACATACAAAAAATTATATTTATTGTTCACTTACTTCATTGCCCTCCAATTCAAAAAACTCAAACTTCACAGAAATTCTGTACTGGGTCGGTGCAACCACTTGCCACACACAGTTTTTATTAGGAGGGTACTCCTTGGGCCAGCCCGGGGTGGTTATGGTGCCATTAAGTTTTGTGAGAAGTCCGCCACAAGCCGCTGGAAGGAAAGAAAAGGAAAAGGTTTTCTTCTAAGAAAGTCATCTCCCTCTCAGCACCTTTCTATTGACAACCAAACATCTCAGCATCAAATTGCAACCATCTTCTGGATTTTTCCAATTCCAGACAGCTGCAGTCTCTGTTCCTTAATCTTTAGTACAACTATTTTAATCATCTAGTCCCATTTATAAAGTGTCATTTTGCAGCTTTGGAGCCAAGCAAATAATGGCTGTACTACAACGTTTTAGAGCCCTTTAATTCGGGTGAGCAATATAAACAAAACTGGGTGTCAGTTTTCTTATCTTTTAAATGGGTATAATAATATCTACACGATATGGTGGTTGTGAGAATTAATGAAAAGGTGTAAGTAAAGTACAATACAGTAAGACCAAAATCAATTGTTTATTTTCTTAAACTCTTTTTTTCTAAAACAAGCAAGTATTCCTGAGCTGGCAGGAAGATAAATGATAGTAAGTAGGACATATTTGTTATTCCCAAAACTCCATTTAACAACTGGTTCTCTTTCTCTTTTGGATGATCTATTTAAAAGAAGTATTATTTATGTTATCCCTCTTCCTTATTGATAGTAAAATTAGCAATATCTGGGTATCCAAAGCAAGTTAAGTGAAAACAATATATAGTGTACACAGTTTGTAATGAATTCCTAGGGAGTCAAGAGTTACCTAAAGTAACTGGTCTCTACTTTAATTGCCTTTGTGTATATATGTGCATATGTTATATATATGTATATGTGTGTGTATATATATATATAAAACTATATATATGCATGTAAAAATATATATGCATATGAAAGAACTCTACCTGTACTTTCCACATTTACTATTTTTTGGTAAATTATTATAGAGTAAAATATTTATTTCTAGGAGCCACATAGAAATAATAGTCATGTTACTTTATTGTTGTCTGGTATACAATATCTTCTCTTTCAAAAATAGGGAGCAGATTAGTAGTTTCTAGGCAGGATGGAGACTTTTGCCAAACAGTATTTAAACTTTTAAGAAGAAAGAGGGAGTCTCTGATTTTCTTTTAATAGGTAAGCAGGGGTGTGGTATTTATTCATTAAGCAAATAATTTTGTTGCCTTTGCCACTTATATGTCCTCTATTACAGATACAGTAGAGAACAAAGTGCTTATTTTAGGAGAACTTACATTTTTGTGAGAAACACAAAAAGTAAAGTAATAAATATATAAATATAAACAATGTTAAATTGCTACAAGTTCTATGAAGATGATTTTGGCAGAAATTTTCAGAGGGGAATAAAGGAAGAATAGACTGGAAAAAGGAAGATCAGCCCATTCATTTTGTCTGTAATTTGTGTGTGAAGTCTATAACAGGGTGGAGCAGAGGGAAAAAAAAAAGGGTCAGCTTTAAATTCTAAAGGAAGAGATCATAGAACAGAGTAACAAAGGATTGAACATGAACTCTCAGAATGGACAGAGGAAATCTAGATAAACAGGACAACATAACTTTGTTGGTTTAATGAATCACTTATTAAGACAACACATATTTAGCTCCTGCTTTATCTCTGACTGTGGTAGATGCTAGAGATACAAAGACGATTCAGATTTAGGACTCCTTGCTTTAATAAGGGAGATGTGCCCCTAATTTATGTTAAGAAAAAGATAAAAACAAATGATGGATGGATGGATACATGGATGGATAGATAAAAATCTAGGTCTAGTAGAGATAAAAATAGAAATAGGTATATATAGATGAAATAGATATATAGATAGATTGATATAGATATATAGATAGATACAGATAGAGATATAACAAAGTGTCCTAGTAAACAAAGGAGGAAATGACTGATTCTATAACGGGAACCCAGGCGTGGTTTCACATTAGCTTTAACTACAAATTGAATCTTACTAGTTGAGGAAAGAGATTATTACAGCGGAAAGGAAAGGAAAGAGGGAGGCAGAAAGAGGGTGAAAGAGAATGAGACTATAAGAATGAAAGGAAAGGGGCACAGGGTTTCAGGCAGGGAACAGGCACAACCAGTCATACCTTCACAGGTCCTTTTGTCAGGTCCCAGCTCATAGCCAGGCTCACACCCGCACTGATAACTGCCCAGTGTGTTCAGACATCGCTGCTCACAGCCTCCACGGTCAGGTTTGGCACACTCATCCTCCTCTATAAAGATGGCGAGAGTTAGAGAACAACTGAAGTATTTTGTTTTTATTTACTAAGGTGTAAAATTTTTTGAAAATATGGTGCTTAATGGCCCTGAATAAAACTGAGACAAGTGATTTCTTCAACAAAGGAGCAGGAACAATTTGTAAGCCCTTGATGGATGACGTGCAAGAATTCGTGTCATGACAATTTTTATACGGACACATTGATATATAACAATTCCATATCTTTGTAAACACACAAACTATTTTACTCATATGTGGAAACACGAAAAACTATATAAAATATATATATGAAAAATATATACTATTTAAAAAAACGTGTATGACAAGGTAGTCCATAATTTCACTCTTCAGGAATAACCCATTGTGTGCTAGGAAAATAGTAATTATTCCCTGAAGGAATTATGCATTGGCAAAAGACTAAGCATTTTGATAACCAAGTATATAAACATCACATGAGAGACGCTTGACAGTATGTTTCTTCTATTGTAAAACATAACACGTAGAGAAAATGGAAAGCAAGTAAATGTACATGTTAGTGAATACTTTGAAAAAATACAGTAAAAGTGCCAATGTTCTCTGCCTTTCAATTCATATGGTGAATAATTATTTACCATAGCTCTGTGGGAAAATCCATTGTACTGTTGTTCTTTAAATAATGAAAATATTTAGTTATTATTCACACTAAATTTTTGTTTGTTTGTTTTTGTTTTTTTCTTGTGTGTGAGGAAGATTGGCCCTGAGATAACATCTGTGCCAAACCTCCTCTGTTTTAGGTTGGATGCCACCACCCTGTGGCTTGACAAGCATTGCTAGGTCTGTGCCCAGGATTCAAACCTGAGAACTTGGGTCACCAAAGCAGAGCATGCAAATTCAACCACAACGCCACCAGGCCAGCCTTAACTATGCTAAATTTTGACATACACAACTGAATCCATCATTTCTTCTATAAAAATCAGTGTAGAGAAAATTTTGTTTTCTCTTCCCATAAAAGAAATTTTTTCTACCCTGACTCACTTAAGTGCCTACAAATTTTCTAAATGCAAATTTGATGCTATGATTTGTACTAAAATAGCTTTCTTTTTACTTCAGTAATACACACCAAATATGGGACACATAAACTAAAATTTGGTTATGCAATTCAAAACTAAAGCTGATGAGTAATAATTCTTTACCAAAAAGACATTTTAGGTACTAGAATATTCTGCTAAGAAGGCCACAAATTATTTCCAATGTGGTGGAACACTATTCTCTAAGGGATGGTTTTGAAATGCTGCCACCTGGAAATAAATTGATGAATTACATGTTAGTAAATCCCCTTCTGATTACCAGTCTTATGTTGATTATATTGCAAATATTTTCTCCCTAGATTTTTCTACTTTGATGATTTCATTAAAAAAACACGGTATAATATCCTAATGTGGTTCTTACCTGGTGCTGCAAAGTTACAAATTCCAGTATTTTACCAATAACCTTTTCCATCAGAAACCATCAAAATATCCTTATGAACAGTACACACTTTAACTTTCAATGTAACTTTGGGTTCTTCCCTAACTAAAAGCTAAATACTACATTTATCCTTGACAAGGAAATTTCACACTTTATTTCAAATTACCTCTAAAAAAATTGGCAGCAAACCCTGCTTTGTTCACAGTTCCATCAGAAACAAACTTCATCCACAAGGTATTGGAGGTAGATTTGATATCTTCAGGTTTATCATAACCACAGAAACGCCCTATCAAAGGGCTATTTTCACTGGTTCCATCTCGAACTTCCAGGTAGTCATAGGCACAGTTGTCATGTCTTTCAATCTGCAATTGTAAAAATATGTGAAGTTATAGCTCACTAATAGATAAAACAATTTCTATAGAAAAAATATTATGTATTCCCAGTGCCATAGTACTGACATGGTCATATAACCAATTACACCAAATGAGAGCATTTCTCATGAGTGTGCATGGTAATATCTACACTTCTACACTGCTCCTGAATAAAGGACATATTTTTCTGGTAGACACAGAAAGAGAGAAAAAAAATCTATGGAACACTGCATCCCCATGCATCAGGATCAAGAGAAGTTAACTGCCTCCTAAAAGAAAATAAAAAAAGTTGTAATTCTTTGGAAAATAGAGCTAAGACTAAAATATACAGACCTAAAATTATCATTAAAAATCTAGGCCAGATATTCTATAAGTAATGTGTAACTTGTTCTGAAACACAGTTATACAAATTGTTCATAGTTCATCAACAAAAGCATTATTTTATTCATAGATTATCACTAAAAATCTAGGCCAGATATGCTATAAGCAATGTATAACTTGTTATGAAACATAGTTATAAAAATTGTTCATAGTTCATCAACAAAAGCATTATTTTATTCATAGAGAAGCTGAATTCAAATTCTATCAACAAGTATTGCACTCTTTTAGGTTATTAATCTCTTTTTGAAGGAAAATATGATAATACGGGATTCCATTTTTTCCTAGTCTATGAAATTCATTACCTGTGGTTAGCATAGCTGTATGTAGAAGGATTACTCTACTAAGAATCAGCACTGGCTATCCTTTCTCAATGTAACACGGCTTGTTTATATGAGTCCTTTTACCTCAACACACTCCTCTCAACCCATATAACCTGGGGGAACTTAATCTCTTTCCTTAAACAACTGAATGGAAATATTAGCTCAGGCTATTAGCCTATAAAACTTTATGAAGAACTGCGTGTTCACAGACCTATGTTTTGACCCTGAACTTCTAAAAACAACAAACCAACATTTACAAATTGTTTTAAAAATTATGACAATTCTTAAATAAAATTCTTGCTTTTTATTTTTACACAGAAAATGGGCACTAGCCCTGAAGTCTTAATAGAATCAACTACTTATTAGATATTTGAAGCTGGAAAGCATGACATCTAAAATTACTAAACCATGAAAAGTATCACATCTGGTCAACTATCGTTCAACATACAGTTCACTAACTTACAGAATTCTCCCTCACAAGACAAATATCAGGCAACACGGTCATTCCATGGAACTACAACCTAAATGCACGAAACTGCTGGTGCAGTTGCTTGAAGAATGTGTTTCCTGATTTGTTGATAGACTAACAGCGACAGTCTTCAAATTAGGTAGCATAAGGACAAAGAGAAAAAATAGATTTTGAAGGACAGATTTGGTTAGAACTAAGCAGCACATTTACTGCTTCCCTTTTCCAAATCACAAATCAAGCTTCATTCATTCCTTTAATAAATATTCAGAGGCTAGTCTATGCTGGGCATGTTTCTCACTGCTTGTTATGCATCATCCAGCAAAAGAGCTAAGAGCCTGACCCTTCTGGAGCCTACATGCTACTGAAGGGGAGAGAGCAAAAGACAACAAAAAGGATAAATAATTACATCATAAAATATTAGAAAGTAACAGATTCTATGGAAAAATGTAAAGTGAAACAAGATAAGAAGTATGAGCAGTAGGGGTCGGGGGAGTGAAGATTATGGTTTTAAATTATACTATCAGTAGGTGCTCACTGAGTTTGATTCACAAATCTAGATTTTTTCCTAAAAATGTACTCTCTTTGTGTGTAGAATTATGGAAAATGATGGGAAAATATTTAATATAAAGAATATCTCATTTTTAAGCACAATTTTAGGACTGTAGCTGTTTAAATAGAGAGATAGTGAGGGAGCGGTAGCAGTGCTACTGGTAACTTAGCCCAGGGATGATAAGGCCAATCTGACTAGCTATATAGATGCCCTTTTCTTTCAGTCTTTAATATACTCCCTTCGAAATCAGAGTTCTCTATAAATATGAGAACATTTCCAGATGGCCAAAGGCTCTTCTTTAGTCAACGGACATGTAAAATAATATCTAAAACGCTCAAGGTGTAGGGCTTGACAAAAGAATAAGTAACACTGAACTAGTGACAAAACTGTAGGGAAAATAACAAAAGGTGTCAGCAAGCTGTTCTACCCTCACCTGCTTAGAGCATCACAGAACGACCTGCTCCTGACTCATGAACCATATTGGAAGAGGGGGGAAAAGGAATGAGTTAGAAGAGGAAAAGAAACGAGGGCACACAATGAAGAAAGAAGCTGCTTGTAGTAGAAGGTCAATTAATAGAAATAAAATTACATTGCTTCATATTAGAAGCCATGAAAGAATAAAAATTAAGGTCAATTAAAAAGGGTTTTTAAATGAGTATTTTGAGGAGATTACTGTTTTTAAAAATTATAGTACTAACAAGAAAGAAAACAAGATAGACACTATTGAAAATGAAACAAAAAATTTCTATTTCTTCAGTGACTAAAAATAAATAGGATAATGATATCTCCCTGTAAATAAAACTCACTCTGTTCTTTTAAAAGACATACACCAGATCACTTTAAATCTTAATTTATAGTATATTCACTGGTCTCTTAGTAAAACTTGGATGTTTGAATATTTTATATGACACACAAAGTATAAATATTTCATAGGTAAAATGCATAAAAATAAACTTTAGGAATAATTTCTCCAGTAACTATATAAGAATTACATATTACTTACATATTGAATATCATGCACCCGATATTAGGGGTAACACAATAGAAGTCTACAATGTATTCTCACATAGTAAATGACACAGTTGTTGAATTGCTTAGAAAATAAAATGTGCCTCATATATATGAATTTATGATCAGAAACACATTATCCTTTCATAACAACAATTCTAGATATCTTATCAATGACCTCCATGATCCTTGTTTACATATTTTTCCAGTTTAATTGCATTAATCCTAATTGCAATGCCAGCATAAGCAATCTGCTCCATCGGTGTTAATTACAATTATACGTCTTCAACAACATCTACATAGGAGTAATGACAGCACAAATCAAAGTTTACGTTATTGTGTTTATGTCATTTGTGTAACATTTTCTCCAGCTATATCAATTAATCATACATCAGTTAGTATACAGAATGGATAGAAAGAAATATGGTTGAAACTAAAAAGTGGATCAAGTCCACCAGTCTTATGCCTGTAACCCTAAACTCCCTGAGGGACAGAACACCAAAGTCAATGATTTACAAAAACGAAAAAAGCAAGAGCAGTTTCTTCCTGAGTTAAATCATGAACATAGTTCATAGAGCTGGGACCTGAATGCAGTGTCATGAACAATTACAAGTACATATAATAAATACGTTTTGATAATGATGCTGACTTATTACAGACTTTAAGGTAATCAGAGCATAAACCACATATGAATGTGGCAAATTTATCGTAATGTAAACAGACCTAATATGTACATAGACAATATGATGAAAGTGATAGTAAGCACTGAATATTTTTTAGAAAACTGATGCTTAAATGATATTGGAAGTAGATCCAAATATTCAAAGGATGAAGAAGCACAAAGATTAGCCAGAAGAGATTAATATTACATTTCATTACTAAATGGGGGCTCACGCCTTTATTAGCGGGTTAGAGAGGAAGCATGGAAAAGTTAAGTGGTTTCTATTTAGCAAGAACTCAAATCAATTAAATGTAACCTAAAGTGGTCAGCCTCTCATCCTAAAACTACCAACCAGTGTAGAGCTTATGGTCAGTGCATGTAGGTGAACTCTCACCCCGAAAAAAGCCCAGCCCCAGAGGAAGGGACCAGGCTTAGGACCCATTCACACATCTTGCTTTCATTTTATAACTAAATTTCCAAATAAATATAACATTGTAAAAACATCTACTGCAGTTCCTTGCTATTTGTAAAAAGCTTTGAAAACTCTAGATTTCTAGATAATAGTTTCCATTAAAACTCTCCCATATTCCCTGCAAAATTAAAAACAGAATTATTATGGGATCCAACAATGCCACTTCTAGGTATATATCCAAAAAATTGAAAGCAGGCTCCCAAAGAGATATTTGTACATCCACGTTCACAGCAGCATCAATCACAATAGCCAAAATATGGGTGCAATCCAAATGTCCATCAACAGATGAATGGATAAACAAAATGTGGTATATATATACAATGGAACATTATTCAGCCTTAAAAAAGGAAGGCAGCCCTTTCATGCGCTACAACATGAATGAACCTTGAGCATATTACACGGAGTGAAATAAGCCAGTCACAAAAAAGACAAATACGTTATGATTCCACTTACAGGAGGTACCTAGAGTAGTCAAATTCATAGAGACAGAAAGAAGGGTTAGGGGACAAAAGGAAGTTGTTGTTTGTTAAGTATAGAGTTCCAGTTTTACAAGATGAAAAGAGTTCTAGAGATTCGTTGCACAACTATGTGAATGTACTTAACACTTAAGTCAACTGCACACTTAAAAACGGCTAAGACGGTAAATTTTATGTTATGTCTACTTTACCATAATAATAACAAAAACCTCTCCCATGACTCTGAGAATGTAGTTTCAAAATATAATTAATGCAATTAACTGCATAAATGATTAAACATTTTGAGATAATATAATTTAAAAGCGTATACACTAAGAACAATGCTGAAGCCATCAATTTGTGCTTTGGGGGAAAATGTTAAAGAAAAGCACGACTAATAAAACAATGTAAATTAGCACTTATCATTAAAAATAAATTGATTGTAATAATGGGAAAAATCTAGTGAAGTCTAAGAAATAATGTTATCAACAAAAGAAATTTTGAATAAAAAAGAGAAAAGCTAACTATGCAGAGCATTAAAATTTACTATCATTTTTAATATCTTATTTAATATTATTTTACTATTACTATTTAATGTTTAATTAATATTAATACATAGATAATTGTAGCTCAAAAAAGGAGGATGAAAACCAAGTATGTTCAACCACGTGAAAA